TTCCTGCAATGTATCTGTACCCAGCAGCAGCACAATTGATGGCCCAAATAGCATAATATGATAGAATCCAGCTACAGTCACAGGGCTTCCTAAATTAAAATCTGTCTGACCTTTATGTAGCCCACATGTTGTTTAATACATGTTAGGCATTGTTTCTTACGTGAGACAGTTCCAGTTTGATGCATGCAATCAGTAGGCTGAACAACTATAAATGTGACTATCATTAAGGCATCTTCATTACACTGACTGATTTTTCTCCTCCCAGTTTATTTTCTGCTGTTCTTTCTAGCTTTTATTTGCAACATATCCAACTGCTATAGAGCAACAGGGGTTTCCTTATGATTTGAAAATCCTGTTTCAGTACTTGATACTTTGCTATCCACTAAGACACCTTTTGCTTTTATTAATTAATGAGAAGTTTTGCTACATTGTAGCCAAATGGAAAGCTTAACTAGTATGTTGCTATGGCATATTGTCCTGAAATTATTGCTATGCAACTTTGGCAAACAGCTCTGAGGAGGGGAAGCAGAAAGTACAATAAGGTTTATAAAACCAAAAAGGGAACCTTGAATGGGGAGAGGGGTGAGGGAGGTAACTGTGTGGGAAAAAGTGCATGTATAAGGTTTAAAGATCACCCATCAAAAAGTTCTCATTTAAATGCATGAGCTAATCAGGTACAGTGCTGAGCACACTTAGCATCCATTGACTTCAGTGAGAGTTGCAGGTATTCAGCAGCTTTTCTCAAGCTAGTTTCCTATGATCCTATAGACTCTTAGCTGGGATGGTCTAGTCAGGGACAATCCTGCCTAGAGCAGAGGCCTGGATTAGATGACCTTTTGAGATCCCTTCCAGCTCTATTTTCCTGGGCTCCTCTAGACAAGTGGTGGAATCAGACCCATAAAGTATAACTATTGTATGACAGATAGGGATAATGATAAAGAAATTCCCTTATAAATATATGTGTTGGAATATATTTCTCTCCTACCGTCTACCACATGCTACCTCTTTTCTTAGACAGCAGGCTCCCTGGGACTGGGATTGTGTGCAAGTGAAATACTGCATACTTTAGGAGTAACAAGCACTGAATTCAAGTACAGTTTAGTGTTTTGTGTTGTGCAAAATCAGTTTTTACACTCAGTCATGTCGTATGAAAAAGTGTAGACCCTAGAAATCTAGGATGATAAAAGCCTATGTCTAGAAAAATCATACCTTTCTGTTAAGGAGTGTACCTGTAAAACTGCATTGGGTTTCAAATTACATTGGACAGGTGAAAGATTCCATATGGAAGGGTTATAGTAACATTATTGCAGGTTTATTCCATGGTTCATTCAAGTTGTTTAGGGTGGTACAAAGACCATTTTATTTTAAACCTTTAAACAGTGAGGAAATTCTGTTATTTGAAGAACCTTATAGCTGGTATAGAGGGTAATTTTAGAGGAAAACATAATACTCACTCCCCTTTAAGCACAAAACTTCCTTGTATAGTAGTTCTTCCAGAAACTTATTTTTCTGAATTAATGTTTTGTGTACATGCAGATCCTCCAGTGGAATAAATGAAACCTTGAGCCCTGAAACAGAAAATGGAAAACAGGATAACCTAAAAAATGAGGACTATAGAGAGAGCACCACACTGCAAATCAGCACAACCAGGCAAATGCCCCATCAGGAATTTTACATCACAGGGATACACAGTGCAGCTCACCATGGAGCAGAGGAAAGTGACATGAATTTTTTTGAGAGAAAACAAGAAAAGGAGACAGCCCAGAGCCACAAAATTACTCCTAAAGTGATAGAAACCTCCAGAGTACTCCTGACGGACGGGGCTGCTTTCAGAGACAAGACAGAAGAAAGAAGGCCGGGTGCTCTGCTGGAGCTGCAGTTGTCCCTCTCACATGACAGGCACAAGGACACCAGTGCTCCTGTTGCAACTGTCTTTGGAACTGAAAAATGTAGCCCTTCAGAAACAGGACCCAGCGTGCAACAAGATGGGACTAGCCCTGTAACTGCAGTCCCTCTGGGTGAAAAAGCAGGCAATGTCCAGTGGTCAAGCAAAGTATTCCAGATTGCTAGTGGCAAAGAGGTCAAGACGAGCCAAGGGGCAGAAGCAGCAGAGCCATCTCTCACCAGGGTGGAAGTGATCCTGGACTGTACTGACAGGGAGAAGGAAGTATCCAGGTCTGGAGCTGAAAAGGGGTGTGTTGATTCTCAAGTGGAAGGAGGGCAGTCAGAAGCACCTCCTTCTGTAGTCTCCTTTGGAATCTCATCAGAAGGCACAGAGCCGGGAGAAGACGACCAGCACTCAGAAAGGGATCACAGCAAACCTCTAAAGCACAGGGCAAGGCACTCAAGTAAGTATGTCACATATTATCATTTGCATTGCTTGAGAGAACATTTTGTAACTTGAAACATCATTTCAGAATGCAGTCAGCTCTAACAAATAATTTTAAGAGGGTTTATTTCTCTCTTTTTAAAAAATTCTTTTTCCTTCCTTTTTTTGGAATTGATATTTCTATTCTAAATTCAAGTACTTTCTTAAGCAATAGAATTGCATGGAAGCCAGACCATGCTTTAACAGGGCTGTCTAACTTGGCTGGAGTAGATTGCTTCTTTACAATGTAACATGCTGTCCAAAAGCACTTGCCATGCCGAAGTGAGGTGCGTTCTGCTGTGTTTCTAATGTAAATTACAATGGGAATTTGTAGAATGTTAACAAAAAAGCAAGGTCATGTGTTGCACATAGCTGGATGCTCTGGATTTCTCCATGTATAGCCAAAACTGTGTGTCATCATCCACATCTTAAAAAAATCAAAGCCACACTATTGCTGTTAAAAGGAGATAAGAATAAAAAAGGCTGGTAGGGAAGCTTGATGATGCCTGCAGAAGTGAGTTTGACGGACACCAGCATGTGTACTACTGGGCAGTTATATGATCCTTTCAGTTTTGTAAGTCTTCTCTAGACTGTAAAGTGAACTTAGTATTTTCTGCCTTCCATACCCAGAGGTCAGTGTCAAAATCTATACAAGGGGTTTAACCAAAAATTAACTGAAAATGTGAGTAAATTCAATGCTGCTGAAGTATAAATGTACATATATGCATACATGTATGCATATATTTATTTGAGTCATTTTGAACGACTGTTCTTTTTCAACAATGTTAAGAAGCCTGTTCAGGGATTTAATCGCAATATGGCAAAGGTGCTTGAATGTGTGCAATGATATACTGCAGCAATGAGCTATTTTATATGCAGCGTTGGAATAAGTCTGCTAACCCATTGCTATTTCCTCTGTGAGCATATTTTTAGAATGATAACCATTTGTATCCCTGCTGGCATGTGGATTAAGCTGTTACTTATGCTTTAAGTGTCCGTATGTAATCCGCATATTTATGGCATATTAAATGGAGTATAAAAGAAGAGTGCACATGCTTTACATTTTGGCAGAGAAGTTAGCAGCAACTGTGGGACTGTGCCTGCCAGTTCTATAATGAATTACTTGTGTTGCATTGGTTGTCTAATAAGGCAAAGAAATAACATGGTAGGGATCACTAAGTAAGACAGAACAAAGTGTATATTGTATAACAAAATGTACCTATATTAATATTCTTCATTAACAAGAAGTATTTTGCCTTTTTTCCCTCTGATTATCATACTGGAATTATTTTTAATCAAGTGACAGGTCATATAGTGCTTTGGGTACCACTGATGGAAGATTTAAACATCAGTTTAAACATATATTTGATTATAGAAGGGTTTGTAAAGACTTATCTAGGGCTCTAGGTTCCTTTGACACACAGAGATACATAATATGCTTGAGACAGAAGAACCAGGGCATGTACAGTTTGCTTATTTTGTGAAGCAAAAAGCCATCATTCAGTATTTAAGACTAAATTATATCTGACTGAGTATTGTGAAGTGTTGACTCCTTCAACAGAAGTAGCTACTGGACAATGATAATCAGAGGACATTTAATCAAGCAGGGAACCTGATTCATCTTTCAAATCTATCAGTTCAAGACGGATTCAAACAAACATGAAAGTACTGTGAAAAAAATCTAAATTATTCCTTGCTACAGAAACTTAGATACTGATTCTGCAAATGTGCCATAAGAACCACCTGCACTGATGGGACTAGCCCCATTTGAAACCAATGGAACTTCTTACAGAAATAAGGACTATGCATTTTATGCATATCATTTTATAGAAGAAGGACATTGGCTGCCGTATTTCCCCTGCTTTACCTGTGGCAGGTTAGGGTGTTAGGTCTATGTTGTGTCAGGGTTGAGGGTAGTCTTACGTAGAGTTTAGATTATGGTTGTATGGGATGGTTTGGAAAAGGATGATCCTGCCTCAGGCATGGGGCTGGACTAAATGACCTCTGGAGATCTCATCTAGCCTTACTTCTTTAGGACTTCTATGATATTATATTTGCAGGATCGCTCTCTGATATAAATCTTCCTTTGACTTTAATACAAGATTTGCTGAGTAAGAACCAACCAGACAATTTCAGGACATGGCCTGTTGAAATTCTGGCTGAAGTGGAGTCCTATAGTCTTTTATAATTTATTGTGAAAACTATGGGAACAATCATGCTGTCCCCTAGTGTAATGGCAAAACCACAACAGTCTTTAATAGAAGAAGAGTCTACTATTCTTCTATTAAAAAATAGAAGTCTGGTTTATGGATTCCCCTCCTTGCCTTTTTCTGACATGGTTGAAAAGATCATTAATTACAAAATATAATACAGATGCATCTATAAGGAAATCATTATGCTTATGTTTAAAAAAAAGCAACATCCATTTATATACTGTATTTACTATTCTGCTTCCAAATATCCAAGCTATTTCTGAATGAGCTAGTAGTTTGACTGTACCAGAAGCAGCATTGCCACATTATTAGCTTCTCATCTGGATAATTAGCCCTAGTGAAGCACTGTGCTGCTTCCAGCATTCAAGTTAGGTCCTACAGAGCTAGTTCAGGTATCTCTGTGTGGTGCTACCTTTTGCAGTGTGCATATGCATAGCCTAGGAAAGGAATGAATGCCAAGGAATTGGTACTATAGGGAAAGATTGATTTTATTGGCCTCCCTATGCTCCTGCATTATGCAGAATCCAAGTATTAAAGAAGAAAAACATTTAATGCCTGGGAGGGGCACTGCCTTCTCAGTCATAGTCTTGTGGGCTGCATTCATTTAAGCATGTCCTTTCATTCTTTCCACAGGGCTTCGCCGGGGTGAGAGCCTATCAGAGAAGCAGGTGAAAGAAGCCAAATCTAAATGTAAAAGTATTGCCTTGCTGCTGACTGCAGCTCCCAACCCCAATTCCAAGGGGGTGTTGATGTTCAAGAAGCGTCGCCAAAGGGCCAGGAAATACACATTAGTCAGCTACGGCACTGGGGAGCTAGAGCGTGACGAAGACGAGGAGGAAGAAGGGGAAGGTGAAGAAGGTGACAAAGAAAACACTTTTGAGGTAACTTTGCTTGGAACAAGCGAGTCAGAAATAGATGAAGATTTCTTCTCAGACATTGACAACGAAGGCAAGGTTGTGACCTTTGACTGGGACACTGGTCTTCTTGAGGTTGAAAAGAAAACAAAAAGTGGAGACGAGATGCAGGCCCTTCCAGAAACCAAGGGCAAAGGGGTCCTCATGTTTGCCAAGAGACGGCAGAGGATGGATCAGATCACAGCTGAACAAGAGGAGATGAAGGCACGTGCAGTGCACACAGAGGAGCGAAGAGAAGCCAGCACAACAGAGAGCTTACAAAAAATGAGCTCTGCCTCCTATCACACAAGACAGGAGGAACCGTCAAGGATGAAGAGCTGTGTGAGCAAAAGTTACATAGAGATGGGCCACAGTCATGGCAAAATGATACAACAGAATGGCATTGGGGGAACAGAGGCAAGTATCTCTTTTCAGTCCTTGGAAGCCCAGAAAGCAGCATCTTTAAATAGAACAGCTAAACCCTTCCCTGGTGTACAGAACCGAATAGCGGCACCATTTTCACCTACAAGAAATGTGACTAGCCCTCTCTCAGACCTACCGGCACCACCTCCCTATTCCTCCGTTAGCCCACCACCTGACACCTTATATAGGCCAGTGTCAGCTCCTGCGGCTAGCAGAGTTCAACCAGCGGTGTGGTCACCAACAGAACAGATAGCATCCAGAGATGAAAGGATTGCAGTGCCAGCCAAAAGAACTGGGATTTTACAAGAGGCAAAGAGAAGAAGCACTGCAAAGCCGATGTTTACTTTCAAGGAGCCCCCAAAAGTGAGTCCTAACCCTGCCCTGTTGTCCCTTGTACAGCATGCAGAAGGCAAACGAGGTACTGGAACTGGCTTTGAATCAGGACCTGAAGAAGACTACCTCAGTTTAGGAGCAGAGGCTTGTAATTTCATGCAGATCCAGGCATCCAAACAAAAAACCCCTCCTCCTGTTGCTCCAAAGCCCTCAATCAAAGTCTCTCCTACTGCTGGAACTCCCATCTCTCCAGTCTGGTCACCTCCAGCTGTGGTTTCTACCCAGCCTTCTTCCTTCCCAACTCCAAACTCACCCCAAGCTGCGGGTCCTCCACCAGTCAGAGCACCTCAGCCTGCTCATCATCCTCCCCAACCCCCAAGTACTCTTAACCTAGTGGGTCCTTTTAAAGGGCCTCAAGCAGCAGTAGCAAGTCCGAATTATACACCTAAAACACCTACCACACCAATTGCTGGAGGAATGGGGCCAGCCTTTGAGATGCCACCAGCGTTGAGTGGGAAAGGAGCACAGTTGTTTGCCAAAAGGCAATCTCGCATGGAGAAGTATGTGGTAGACTCAGAGACTGTGCAGGCAAACATAGCACGGGCCTCATCCCCAACTCCATCTTTACCAGCCTCTTGGAAATATTCATCTAATGTTCGAGCACCTCCGCCTGTTGCTTATAATCCCATCCATTCCCCGTTTTACCCTCCTGCTGCTACCAAACCCCAGTCTAAGTCAACTGCAGTTACTAAAAGCACCAAAAGAAAACCTAAGAAAGTTCTCAATGCTTTAGAAGTTATGAAGCATCAGCCATATCAGCTTAATGCATCTTTATTTACTTTTCAACCACCCTCTGATACTAAGGAAGGCTTAGCTTCTAAGCAATCAAAGTTCAGCCCTGTGCCTGCCTCAAAGCAAGTTCTGTCTTCAAGACCACTCAATGCTGGTTCTCCAACTAATGTCCAGGCATCTTCAGTGTACTCTGTACCAGCCTATACTACACAACCGTGGTTCCAGTCAAATGTTTCCACCCCAGTAAATGAATCCTATGCACCCGTGGGTCACTCCACATATTCTAAATCAGAATCAGTCACATCTTCTTTACTTACTGCTCCGAGGCCAAAGTTTTCAGCTAAGAAAGTTGGTGTCACAGCTCAGGTGTGGAAGCCATCAGTCATTGAAGAGTAAATTTTGTAGCGGCAACTCACTTTGCTTGCAATGAATTGTTTGCAGTGGTGATCTGGCACATCAGGAGTGTCAATAGCAGTCCTAAGCTTACTTAATAAGTTCAAACATATCACCTCAAAATTGGGTCCATTTGAATATTTGCAACACATCAAAATGGATACAAAATTTAACACATTTATGTATATTTTCACACACTTTTGTACATGGAACATCCAGAAATGGATGCATACCGTTGTCTTAAGTAAGCTGGACGCTAGGTTTTATGCTTTAACACAACCAAAAAGTGGCAGTGAGCAATGGTCCCTGTATTTCAAACAATCATAACATAGCCTTCAGAATTATTTGAAAATTCATGCTCTGATGGCCCAACGGTTCAAGTACCACTCATTTTAGATTTTTAAAAGTGCCTTACAATAATAATAATATCTTTTACTAATATAGCATACCAAATAAGTATAGTACTGGGCCCTGATTTCCGAATGTATCCACATGGATGGACCCTTGAGTCTTCATGGAGTCCCATTAGCTTCAATGAGACTCTGCATTGGCACCAAAGGTCATCCCAGGATTGCAGAATAAGGCGCTTAGTTTGTAAGTTATGTGGATCAGGTCTGATCCAAAATCATGAATTCCCTCTGTGATTTCACAGAGAATGTGCCATAAGGAATATTGCAGGGTTTGAAGAAGACTGACTTAAGGGAAGTGGTAAAAGGGTTAGAAATGGTATTAAATGTTTCATATTTTTAGGAAAATGTGAACTCAACTTGATATCCCAAGTGCAGGCATAGTTTAATAATTATTTGCCTTGACTCCATCTAATAACTCGTTATAGAAGACAGTAAATTAGGATTGTTGAACAGTCAGATGGGTAAGCTGAGTTTGCAGCTACGATGTGATGTGATATTCTCTTCTGAAAGCACAGTGACTGAGAATCAAAAGGAGACATACATGAGTACTGATATTTGCAACCAGAGTAGAATATACCATATAAATGACCTCATCTTTCTGCTGCTCTCTCTCAGGCGTTTTCTTGTTTTCATTTTGGGCTTTATGGTACTTCTTCCATTTTCATTCTTGTTACTCTGTTCTCACACTATCTGCCTTTATTTATGTACTATGGACCAGGAGGATCAAACCACTGCTACCATACAAAACTCCTTTTAGTCATAGCCAGTCAGATTTTGCCACCTTTAAACAGGGCTGAATAACAGCTTACATCAGGAATAGTCTAATTGAATCATAGAATAATAGGGTTGGAAGAGAACTCAAGAGGTCATCTAGTCCAACCCTTTCATATTTCATGCTGGGCACATCTACACATGCACTAACATGCTGTGGGTACTGTGCAATCAGTTTGGTACCTATAATAACAAGTACTAATCGAATGCACAGTAACCAGCATTACTGCACAGTAGCACCAGTGCATGTCTTTTTAGTGACACTAATTTACAATAGACTAATTCTACTGCGCATTAGTGTAATAGTACAGCTTTTGCTGTGATGCACTAATGTGCAGTAAAATTAGCCTACTGCACATTTAGGGCACCTATACATGAGCAGGGAGGCTGTTCCAACATTCTGTAATTACAGCACAACAGAACAGACTCAATTAATCAAATCTGCTGGAGCATGGTAATTTCCATGCCCCAGAAGACTCCAGCATCATGTGTATCAGCGTCCCTGTGCTGAAAAATGCTGACGGGGGTGCTTTAACTAAAGCTTGTTCAATGAGCTTCAAAGCACCCAGGCACCATTTTTCAGAGCAGGGTGCTCATACACATGACGTTCTAGGGGCTTTAATTAGAGTGGCTCTTGGAGCTACTCTAATTAAATCACCCCCACCACCCCTAGAACACATGCAAAGTGCCTTAGCGCCTTGCCTACTGGGTAATACTTTACTTCTTAAATGGTCCTATGGAAATCAGTGGTGCCACTTCTGGAGAATGAGTTGTCCATTATGTGTGTGTCAGAGGCCAATAAGACATACTCACAGATTCAGGTGCTGCTCTGTGAGAAAAAGTGGCAGAAGTTAGTTTTGACATGGTTGTTTAAATCACCAGCCAGCTGGCTACAAACCAGATTATGGAGCCTTTACACACATTATGGATATTTACTCACTGTCTTATTGGTTTAAATGGAACTATTTGGGTGGGGAATATTCATCTGAAGCCTCTCCAGATCAGTCCCATGAAGTTAACTTTTAACTTGTATTAAGTTCAAACTTCCATTGTATATGTGAAATGCAAATGATCCATGACATGAAGAAGTTGGATTCAGAACCCTGTGAAGCCACTGGAAAGACTCCAACTAACTTCAGTAGGTTTAGAATCAGGACCCTGATATGGAACAAATGGGGAACACAGTTAAATAAAGCACATTTGAAATCCAATAGAGCTGCTAGAATATATAGTCAAACCAATCAGTTCTACACAGAAAAATAGAGAGAGAACTATACTGCAAACACATCTTGCTCAGGTGTGTATGGTAACAATACTCTAATCCTCTTGAGATCTACTTCTTTCCATTCATTGTCCACTGTCAATATGCTATATTTTTCCTCTACCATTAAACTTTTTCCTTTCTTCTCTACCTGTTTGATTTTTTTTGTTAACACATGCTGACTGACAATATATTTTACGCTATTTATATTTTCCATGTAATTCAATTGCAATCTAAGCTGGACTTGTTTCTTTCTTTCAAGTATATCTTCATAATTAATACACTATTGAAGATCTTGATTACATAAACTACCTTAGCTAGAAATTCAAAAGATAATGTCTACTTGGAAAAAGTTAATCTATTGTTACCAAAGATAAGGTTGGTATGACTAGACAGATGGATATTGCCAAAGAAATCTGGTCACTTAAGGAAAAAAATAGTATGAAAGCCTTATGCATTTTCATTGTAGTCTACTGCTGTAAAATATCTTTGCATATTCTAGTCACACTAAAGAGCCTTCTGAAAAAGATATGTGACTATTAATAAAATACAGCAGTTTTTACCTCTTACTCACCAGTGCAATTCTGGCTCAGGTCACTATTTACTACAGTCATGATCAGCTGCTGAGAGGCCTGCATGAAATTAGCAGATGATCTCAGTCCAACCTCTAGCTTATAGATGTGTGCATCACCAAACAGCTGTCAGGATTGGAACTGATAGACATTTTTATTGGACGTATCTCAGCAGAGAGAATAAAGAGTGAGTGGAGAGGAGACTGGTCTGCACTCTTATCTCTAAGGAGATCACCTCCCCATGAGCAGAGCATCCTCTTATTATGGTAGTGAGAGGAAGCTGTGGATAATAACAGCCGGCTGTAGTTTCCTGGACAATCAGTCAGTACCTCTTGGCAGCATTAAGTTTGCTTGAAAGAAACCTAATAGAAATAAGCATAGCATTCAGTCAATACAGCACAGGCTGAAAGCTTATTTAGGCAATCTACAAAATCACATATATAAATGCAATAAGAAGCAAAAGGCTTTTGTAGTATTCATCTGCCAATGTAATTTTTAGACTACCATCTCAGTACTGTGTGTAGCAGACAAAGGGTGGAGTCCATCCTGCAAATCTGGATTTGCTTGATGTTACATACTGTCGGTTTGGCCTGTTGTAGGGATAGCAGGATTTTCTAAAGTATTTGGGTTAGAATAACAAGCCTCATTGACGTTCAGTCATCTGGAATCTAGGTCTGACTTCAGTTCGCCCCCGCCCCAATCCTCCACTCCCTTACCACACGCAAGTTGTAGATGTTTGAAGTGGGTTTTGCTTCAAGCTCATCTCTAATAAGGTAAGTCATCAGCTCTTAATAGTATTTCAGAATAAGACAAGGCTATTTCAATGAACTTTTACCCACCATGCCATCTCTTGTGCAGCAGAAATTGAGAAAAGATGGGAGGTGAATACTGCCATTCAATCTAAATTAGATAATGTAGATGATGTCACCCATGACTGAAATGTCAAGACAACATACAGTTTATATGTAAATGACCCATCTGCTCCATTTAGGAAAGTTTCATTTGGCTTTGAAGGGGGAACTTTTGCAAATAATAATTTTACCAGCCTTTGATAAAATTGTGACAAGCATTGTTACAAGAAATGCTGTAAAAGAGTAACCAGATATTTTGTATGGGCCCACTGTGTGAACAAATTTGATTATAAAATAGGGGTCTTATTGTAGTAGCCACAGTACCAATATGGTCACATGAAAGTGCTTTAAGGTTGCCATGTTCCTCTCAGTACATGTAATTGTGCCGCATGTATTATACTGTACCATTCAGGATGCTTTGGGGGGTCTGTATAAAATCAGTTACTGTAATCTAAGATCTGTACATTTAGCAAGAAAATCCACTCAGACCTGTTCAAAATGTCAACAAGAGGATTCCCCTTCCATCTCCCCCTGCAACACACACACAGGCACAGGGGCACACCAAAAATGCCTGCAGCAATTGCTAAAATATGTTGGAATGGGTGATTTGATGGTGGAATGAATCCTCTTTGTTTTCTGAGGTTGGTAGATATCCCCTGGACTCCTGGTGATACAACACCTAGATGGTGTGGTGCATTTGGGAAGAGAGGATCTCTTCTGGCTGAGGTGGGGGGCTGAAATGGGAATGGGGGGCCAGACTCCTTCCTATGGCTGGCTTTTTGAGCTCCTCACTGGCCTGAGCAGTTCAGTACTCTCTGGGAGAGAGGCAAACCCAGCAAGACTCCCTCTCAAAATTATTGTGTCCTGTCTATTTCCTTCCACAGACATACAATGGACATACTCTAGGCACAGTGCCAGCCTCAGAGGGATGAAAATGTTACTAATAAGGGTTGCATATTGAAACCATTTTTTCTGACCACATCAGCATAACCAAATCCTGTCCATTCTGACCTTTGCCTAGAGATCAGCCTATTGGTATGAGGAAGCACTAGCAATATGGTTAATTTGGATAAACATCTAATATAAAAGATGTTATATTCATCAGACC